GGCGTGAGCCACCGCGCCCGGCTAGGTACTTGTTAAGTGTGAACAGGTTTCACCAATTATCTTCCATCATCACCCTCTCCCCAACTGGCTGCCCTTTCCACCTATGATAGAAGAGTGTTACACATGTGCATTTTCCAGAACCTCCCAGTTGTGAGGCTGCAAACCTGGTTCCAGGGCCTGAGCAAGGGTTCCAGGGAGGGTCTCTGCATTTGGGGCCACTGCAGTGACCTACTTTAATTATTCCCTTATGCATTTCCTTTGCCTATAATACGGCATAGGTTCTCCTAGACTGAAAATCCTTTGAAGGCAAGAATTTTTATCTTCAGCGCCTAACACAGTCCCTGTTGCATAGTAGCAGTTTAGTGTATGTTTATGGGATAACTGGATACACATACGGTTTCCAGACAATATGCCTTCTGATTGACTCATTCAGAATGTACTTGGGGTGGACCCCTAATTTCATACAAAATTCCATGCATTGACAGAGCAGCTCAGAGGATGGGGAACCATGAGCTGGTCTTTATGAACCTGTACACTAGACCCTGGTGAATGCAGACTCAGATTGCAGTGGCACTGAGGAAATATATCCCCCATGTCTTCACACTTGGCCCATGGTCAGCTACTTGCCTCTGACCCACACTTCCCTCCACTCCACCCCACACCAGTCCTTTTGCATTTCATATAAAAGAAAGAAAGAATTTTCCTTTTTTTGGAAAGAACTTTGTCTTTCTCTCTCCCACCTATCCTTGAAAAGTGATAATTTGGAAACTCCCCAAAAGAAATTAAAGCAGGCCATGATATATAAGACTTTATTTTTTATTTTTATTTATTTATTTTTTTGAAATGGGGTTTCAGTCTTGTCGCACAGGCTGGAATGTAGTGGTATAATCTTGGCTTACTGCAACCTCCACCTTTGGGTTCAAGCGATTCTTCCTCCTCAGCCTCCTGAGTAGCTGGGATTACAGTTACCCACCACCATGCCTGGCTAACTTTTGTAGTTTTAGTAGAGACGGGGTTTCACCATGTTGGTCAGGCTGGTCTCAAACTCCTCACCTCAGGTGATTCGCCTGCCTCGGCTTCCCAAAGTGCTGGGATTGCCAGGTGTAAGCCACTGCGCCTGGCCCACAATATGTAAGAATTTTTAAAGCAACTCCTTTTTGTATACAGAAGATTAGAAATATAAAGCCCTAGGCTGGGTGTGGTGGCTCTTGCCTGTAATCCCAGCACTTTGGGAGGCTGAGGCGGGCAGATCACTTGAGGTCAGCAGTTTGAGACCAGTCTGGCCAACATGGTGAAACCCCGTCTCTACTAAAAATACAAAAATTAGCCAGGCGTGGTCTCAGGCACCTGTAATCGCAGCTACTTGGGAGGCTGAGGCAGGAGAATCACTTGAACCTGGGAGACAGAGATTGCCATGAGCCTAGATTGTGCCATTGCACTCCAGCCTGGGCAACAAGAGCAAAACTCTATCTCAAAAAAACAAAAACAAGGGTCTATCTTTTTTCTGTCTCCACCCATTGCCCAAGCCAGGACCCAGTGAAGGAAGGTAGTTGATCTTTGTTGAATAAATGAAATGCCTAGCTAATTATTATTTTTTAAAATTTTTTCTTTTTATTTGAGATGGAGTCTCGCTCTGTTGCCCAGGATGGACTATAGTGGCACAATCTCAGTTCACTGCAGCCTCCACCTCCCAAGTTCAAATGATTGTCCTGCCTTAGCCTCCCAAGGAGCTGGGACTGCAGGGGTGTGCCACTACACCCAGCTAATTTTTGTATTTTTAGTAGAGACGGGGTTTCACCATGTTGGCCAGAATGGTCTCAATCTCTTGACCTTGTGATCCACCCGCCTTGGCCTCCCAAAGTGCTGGGATTACAGGCATGAGCCACCTTGCCTGGCCTTGTACTTTTTTTTTTTTTTTAATAAGTAGAGATGGAGTTTCACCATGTTGGCCAGACTGGTCTCAAACTTCGGACCTCAAGTGATCCACTTGCCTCGGCCTCCCAAAGTGCTGGGATTACAGGCATAAGCCACCACACACAGCCAAAGATGCTTGATTGCAATTTTAAAACCACATGCTTCTATTATTATTATTATTTTGAGGGGACAGGATCTCACTCTGTTGCCCAGACTGGAGTGCAGTGGCACAATCTCGGCTCATCGCAACCTCCACTTCCTGGGTTTAAGAGATTCTCCTGTCTCAGCCTCCCAAGTAGCTGGGATTACAGGCATGTGCCTCTACTGCCAGACTAATTTTTGTATTTTTAGTAAAGACGGGCTTTTGCCACGTTGGCCAGGATGGTCTTGAACTCCGGACCTCAAATGATCCACCCGCCTTGGCCTCCCAAAGGCATGAGCCAGCACGTCCGGCTGCTGCTGTTATTTTTGAAGAAATGTTCAGCACCAAGGGAATGTAATGGGGGAGAGAAAACTCAATCTTCCCATCCTTTCCCTGGTTCTTATGATGCTCAAAGATGATTTAAGGAGGGAAAGCAGCCTGCTCTTGGCTTTGTGCTCCTGTGGGCCAACGGGCACAGTCTAGGAGGCATGGGAGAACTTTCCCAGTGGAATTCCTGGAGAAGTGGCTTGACCACATATCTGTATGCTCCTTTGTGCTCTACAGGTCCTGTATCAGTCTGGGTACTCCAAGAAAATGTCATGAGGGGATTAAATGTCTAACAGATTTAATTGGTAAATGATTGTGGTAAATACCTGTGAGGGAAAAAAGGGAGGGAGGCAGAAGAGACTACAGAGCCGTCAGACAGACTACAATTCAGGACTGACCTCTGCGAAGGAGAGAAGGAGGAAGATGGGGTAGGGAAGTCTTCCATGACAGTGCAGTCAAAGGAAGTTTCAGCAAAGCCCATGGGGAGTCATTGAACCAAAGTTACCTATCAAAGGAAGTTGACTTGCAGGAACCGGTCATAAGGTTCCTGCTTTGCTCAGTCATTGTCTGGGAACAGCCTATAGGATATGTGGCCTCAGTGCAAAGCTGTGGTAGATTCAAAGCACTGCGGCTGGGGCCCTTAGTCAATTAAACCACTGCAGTAGGTCTGAAAGGTGCATTTTCATGGCTGCCACTCTATTAACGAGCATTCTAAACAATACCTCTCCTTTTCTCCTTAATCCTATGGTGATAGTTCAGAAACGCAAGTTTTATATGAATCATTTTTCCTATTTGCAGCTGGTCACAGACAAGATAAAAGACTCAAAGTCACTCCATATGTGGATGGAAAAAAAAAGTGAATTCAATTTCTCCAGCGACCATGAATTGTCTCCTTTTTCATCCACCCACTGCAAACCTTTTCTCAGATTTGCTGTCATAGCTAAATAAAATGAGATTTGCATTTCACTTACGAAGTTATACCCTTGCTAGGTAAAGAGATGACTGGGAGGCCAAATTCCTCATTAGTCTACAAAAGAACAATGGGGAACTAGCTTTGATTAGGCACCTACGTTTTACCAGGCATGGTGATAGAGGCTTTACACAGGTCATCCCTTTGAACTTCACCTCAGCCCTCTGAGGTCAACATGTATTGCCTCATTTTACAAATTAAGCACAGACCCAGGGTACACACTGAGGAAAGAAAGAGAGATTTGACTGGGACTGAGTCCAGGCCCTCTGACTGTAAGTCCAGTGCTCTTTCTGGTCCCGAAATTTCTAATCCACACATCGGATAGTTTACCTGAGTTAAAAATGTGAATTAAGTCAGGCTTAAAGCAGAATTTTGTTTTCTATCAGAAATCCTAGAGCAGGCGGAAGGTGAAGACCAAAGAAGATATTTTCTTTTTCTTTTTTTTTGTTTCTTTTTTTTGTTTTTGGAGATGGAGTCTCTCTCTGTCGCCCAGGCTGGAGTGCAGTGGTGCAATCTCGGCTCACTGCAAGCTCTGCCTCCTGGGTTCAAACGATTCTCCTGCCTCAGCCTCCCAGGTAGGGAGTACAGGCGCCCGCCACCATGCCCATCTAATTTTTTGTATTTTTAGTAGAGACGGGGTTTCACCGTGTTAGCCAGGATGGTCTCGATTTCCTGACCTCGTGATTCGCCTGCCTCGGACTCCCAGTGCTGGGATTACAGGCGCGAGCCACGGTGCCTGGCCCAAAGAGGGTATTTTCTTTTTTTTTTTTCTGTGACGGAGTCTCGCTCTGTTGCCCAGGCTGGAGTGCAGTGGCCGGATCTCAGCTCACTGCAAGCTCCGCCTCCTGGGTTTACACCATTCTCCTGCCTTAGCCTCCCAAGTACCTGGGACTACAGGCACCCGCCACCACAGCCGGCTAGTTTTTTTGGTATTTTTTAGTAGAGACGGGGTTTCACTGGGTTAGCCAGGATGGTCTCGATCTCCTGAAAAGAGGGTATTTTCTTCTTCCCTCTCTCTATCATCCTTACTCAATTACAGATGATCAAGGGCAGTACTGCCAGAGTCACCTCGAGAGGCCCTGTTCTCTGCCACCCAGACTGTTCTGTAGTCTCCATTCCAAATTGTCTTTACTCTGGTTTACCCCATGGATGGCATTTAAGACTTTTCTTAAATTTGAAATTCACAAAACCGTTTTAAAGTAAACAATTCAGTGGCATTTAGTACCTTCGCAGTGTTGTGCAACTTCCACCTCTATCTAGTTGCAAAACATTTTCTTTTCTTTTTTTTTGGAGACAGAGTCTCGCTTTGTTGCCCAGACTGGAGTGCCGTGGCGTGATCTTGGCTCACTGCAACCTCTGTCTCCCGGGTTCAAGCAATTCTCCTTCCTCAGCCTCCCGAGTAGTTGGGACTACAGGCACATGCTGCCCGCCGGCTAAATTTTTGTATTTTGGTAGAGACAGGTATTCACCATGTTGCCCAGGCTGGTCTCAAACTCCTGAGCTCAGGCAATCCACCTGCCTTGTCCTCCCAAAGTGCTAGGATTACAGGCGTGAGCCAACAGCCTGGCCTTGCAAAACATTTTCATCACACAAAAGAAAACCTTCTACCCATTAAGCAGTTACTCCTCCCTCTCCTCAGTCCCTGGCAACCATCAATTTGCTTTCTATTTCTATGGATTTAACTATTCTGGATATTTCATAGAAATAGAATCACATAATGGATGACCTTTTCTGTTTGGCTTCTTTCTATTAGCCTAATGTTTTTGAGGTTCATACATGCTGAATGAAGGTTCATACAACCTCCTGGTGAAGCATGTATGTATCAGTTCTTCATTCCTTTTTTTGAATGAATAATGTTCCATAATTTATTTATCCATTCATCTCTTGATGAATATTTGAGTTGTGCCCAGCTCTTGGCTATCGTGAATAGTGCTGCCATGTACATTCGTATGTAAGTATTTGAGGATCTGTTGGTTGTATACCTATGAATGGAACTGCTGGGTCTTCTGATAATTCTGTATTTAACTTTTTGAGAAACTGCCAACCTTTTCACAGCGGTTGCGCCGTTTCGCATTCCCACCAGCAATCTACAAGGATTCTAATTTCTCCACATCCTGCATTTAAGACTTGTAAAGCTGAATTAATCACAGGATGAGGAAGTGGCCTCTCTGAAACATTTTCCTCTTTCACATTTTAAACTTTCTCTTTCATACACGACATGAAACACAGCCTACGCACGAAAGTGACTAGGAGGAAGGCCATTATAAAGTGATGCAAACAGAAATTCCACCAACCTCCACGTATCATCATGTGTCATAACTCAGCCAAGCTCAGTGAGCATTCTCGTCACATTGCCTCAACAGCTTCAAGGTGAGCCAGCTCAAGACTTTGCTCTCCACCAGGCAGAAGATGACAGACTGTGAATTTGGATATATTTACAGGCTAGCTCAGGACTATTTGCAGTACGTCCTGCAGATACCACAACCTGGATCGGGTCCAAGCAAAACGTCCAGAGTGCTACAAAAGGTTGCATCCTCAGTCCAAAAAGAAGTGGAAAAGAATCTGAAGCCATGCTTGGACAATGTTAATGTTGCATCCATAGACACTGCCAGAACACTATTCAATCAAGTGATGGAAAAGGAGTTTGAAGATGGCATCATTAACTGGGGAAGAATTGTAACCATATTTGCATTTGAAGGTATTCTCATCAAGAAACTTCTACGACAGCGAATTGCCCCGGATGTGGATACTTATAAGGAGATTTCGTATTTTGTTGCTGAGTTCATAACGAATAACACAGGAGAATGGATAAGGCAAAACGGAGGCTGGGTATGTGTGATGGAAAAATTCTTCATTGTTCTTTACTGTGAAATAGAAATTGAGAATTTCCTTGCTAATTAAAACAACAACAAAACACTTACCTAAGAATACTAGTTTCCTTGGGTGGTTTGTTTTAATTTTTAAAATAATATACTTTCTGGCTTATTTCCGATGAATCCTTGAACTTGAACTTTATAGTTGGAAAGTACTTGTGTTTCCAGTTTTTATTCCTAACAGTATAAATTACAGTAGTGAAGTTTGGGGGCTAACAAAGCACCTCTCTCATGCAGCTTCACCGTCAGCTGTGTACACACTGTAATCTAGTACTTAGCTTTTGCTAGGGTTGTCGTGACAGTACAGACAGTACAGAAATTTCCACAATCAGTACAGAAAGAGTTGCTATTAGATGCTGTTATTTTTAGGTATTTATAAGGTTGCAAAAGACAGGTGTAAAGTTTTGTAAGTTCATTGCTTACAAATTGGTGTTTTTCAGTTTACTAATACATAGCAAATTGTAACATATACTAATGTATAGCAAATTATATATAATGTATAACAAATTATTACTAATAATAAATTCTGGGCTGTTAAAGTTTGTTGATTAAAACATAATGTACAGTATCACCAGCAAGAAACTTTATTCAAGAATTTTCAACTAAAAATTCACTTTATTATCCAATGCCTCAAAAAGCCAAGACTGTGTAGGGGCCTGTGTTGAAACTCATGTTGGTAAAAAGCCTGACACAGCTGCATGTATATGCTTTCCTTTATATCCCAATATACTTAATGATTATTTTTTTAAAGCACGTAAGTGTTCATGAATCCTCTCTCCAACCCCTAATTCCTGGCCTTCACCTCTCCCAAGAGGTAACCACTGTTATCAATTATTTTGCATGCAAAACATGCCTACTGCATATATCCATAGAAAATAAACAATACTTCTTTGTAAAAAGTTTTTTGTAAAAAAGTTATGTAAAATGTGTATGTATGCTTATGTATATGTTTTACATAACGTATCTGTTATACCATATAACACATACTTTTTTACATATACACATAATTTTTTATATATACAATAAATTTTGTGTACATATTTTTACATGTGTATATGTAAAAATAGTACATGATACTAATTCTGCCACTTATTATTTTATCCAGAGTTATTTAAAATAGTATTAAGAATGCTGTGTATATTCTGTTGTATGTAAATGCTGTAGAGTGGCCATTTGTAGCTGATAGCTGTTTAGGTTATTTCGAGTTTGCTATCACACACAATGCTTCATTGAATATCATTTTACATATATCTTCCCTTGTGCGTGTGTGTAGTTTTCCAGGGTGGATGTTGGGTTGTGGATGCTGGGTCATGGTGGCGTACATTTTTTTAATTTACTAGGTCCTTGCCTTCCAAAGTGGCTCCACCAAGTTCCACTCCCATCAGCAGCTTGTTAGAGTATCTCGCAGTCCCCCTACCCCAGCTGACTAACATTAGGTTGTTGCATTTCGTCATAATTTCCTTAATTTTTTGGGCTAAAAATATAGAGTTTATCTTGTTTCAATTCTCATTTTCTTGATTACTAGTAAGGCTAAATTTTTTTTACATTTTGAGCATCTTTTCGTATATTAACTGATCATTTGTAAATGCAGGTAATTGTCGGTTTACACCCTTTGCCCATTTTCCTTTTATTTTGTCTTTTTCTTATTGATTTGTAGGAATTCTTTGAATATTCTGGATACAAATTATTATTATTATTATTTAAATTTTTTGAGACAGAGTTTTCGTTCTTGTTGCCCAGGCTGGAGTGCAATGGTGTGATCTCAGCTCACTGCAACCTCTGCCTTCTGGTTTCAAGCAATTCTCCTGCCTCAGCCTCCCAAGTAGCTGGGATTACAGGTGTGCGCCACCACACCCAGCTAATTTTGTATTTTTAGTAGAGACGGGGTTTCACTATGTTGGTCAGGCTGGTCTCGAACTCCTGACCTCAGGTGATCCTCCCACTTTGGCCTCCCAAAGTTGTGGGATTACAGGTGTGAGCCACGCACCCAGCCAAATTATTTTTATATATGTGGCAGATATATTTTAGTTTGCTGATTATCCTTTAAAGCTAACAACGTCTTTGGTCATTATAAACGTTTAAAAGTTTGTTGCGATCAAATTTATTGATCTTTTACTTGATGCCTTTTTCGTTTTGTTTAAGGCCTTCCTGCATGATAGAGCTTACTGCAGCTGCTCCCCTTTCTCAGTCACCTTCTTCCTGGAACTTAGTTCTTTCTAACTCAGCCTGACTGAGGCTGGGCGAAGCATGCGAAATGTTTTGTCATGTTTGCTTCTGGTTGGCTGTGGGAGGCTATACTTGAGGACTGGTGGAAATTTCAGCAGCACTGTGTAGATTTCAGGCGAAGGCAAACGTTCTCCAGCACAGAGGACCACAGATGAGCCTGCGGAGAAATACTCTACTAGTTTGCAGGCTCTTTGTGGGTTTGGATTGTATTCCCAATGCCTAGCTTAGTACTTGGAACACACAGACAGTGAATAAATGTTACTTAAAAATTTAACTTCTCTACAATAAATTTTGTGAGCTCCCGGAACTCACTGTTAGCAAGAGGTGTGGAATTGTCTCTGAGAATTTCTAGTAGTGCCCTCATCTTTCGAGGGTGGTATAGATGTAAACATGAGTGTGGCCGGATGAACCTCTCCCAAGTGTAGATACAAATACACACATTGCCTGCACATGCACACACTCAGCCTTTCTAAAGTTTCCAAGCTCTCCTTTTTTTTTTTTTTTAAAGCACCTGAATAGTTCAGGTTGTAGACATGAAATACGCTTGAAGATGTCATTTCAAAGCAATCTCCGTGCTGCTTTCCCGCCTCAGATGAGACATTGATTCTGTCAATGATAGGCAGTGCTTTTTTGATTCAGTGCAAACTGGCATGGAAAACTGTTATCTTCTTTCATAGTGATGTTGACAAATCTGCTCAAATGAATGAATTTACTCTTGAATGATTCATTTCAGGGGAAATGGCACAATCACATGCCTACGCTAGTAGAGTCAGTGGCCCACAAGAAGAAGTAAGGGTAGAGGAGGCACTTAAAACTTTATCAAGATGTGAGCACCAGCCTCTCACTTCTACCCACCTGAAAAAACTCAAGAAGTCATCATAAAACATACAATCTGTAATTTAATTAAATGTTAAAATTGCCCAGAGACTTTATGAAAACTTTTAATCAAGAATATGGTATGTGCCAGGTGTGGTGGCTCATGCCTGTAATCCCAGCACTTTTGGGAGGCTGAGGTCAGTGGATCACCTGAGGTCAGGAGTTCAAGAGCAGCCTGGTTAAGATGGTAAAGGCCTGTCTCTACTAAAAATACAAAATTAGCAGGGTGTGGTGGCGGGCATCTATAATCCCAGCTACTTGGGAGGCTGAGGCAGGAGAATCACTTGAACCTGGGAGGCGGAGGTTGCAGTGAGCCGGGATTGTGCCACTCCAGCCTGGGCAACAGAGTGACTCCATCTCAAAAAAAAAAAAAAAAAAAAAGGCAGTATGTGAGCACAGCATAGATGTTCAGACAGACCTGGCTTCATTTCTGGGCTCGAGTGCTTACTACCTGTGTGAATTGTACAAGTTGCTTAACTTCCCTGTCTTGTTTCCTCATCTGTAAAAACAGGAAAATATTGCAACCTATGTCCTGGGACTGGTATAAGGATCAAATTAGTTAATATATGCAAAGCACTTGAAACAGTTCCTGCAAATGAGTACTCAATACAAGTTTACGGTTGTTGTTTACCGTGTAAAACAGATCCTCTAATGGGAAGAAACAAGACTGGTCTATCAGTAATGGGACTTATAATCTCTTTCGTTATTCTTTCTCCTTTTTATCAGTTGTCTTTCCTGCCTTCCTGCCTGCCTGCCTGCCTGCCTTCTTTTTTTGTGGCTTCTCATCTCTCTTTTTCTCCTCTTCCACATTTACCATGATTTCCTCCTGTCCCCTCTCCTAATTTGAAGTGCTGAGAAAGGATGTGCTCTCACAAGATCTGATAGGAGAGCTAGTGCCATTTGGCTGCCTTCAGCATTCATGAGGAAAGGATGGTTCTTAAAAACCATTAGAATGATCCTGAGATGAAACTCATGTCTCTTCCCTTGGGATCACCCTTCCTTTTGAACCAGGTGGCTCTTCTTACTTCCTCCACCTTCAATGAAGCATTCTCCTCTGCATATGCTGGGGGAGTAGAAAGAATGCTTGGCACTCAGCTCCACATGGGAGAAATCATGTCTACTTAATGCATCACTGTGTACCTCATGCCTAGAATAGGGCCTATTGCATAGATGGTAACAACAAATATTTGCTGATGGAATGATTCAGTGAAGCAACACTGAAACTGGAGATTTGAACTCTGGTTTTCTCACTCACTAGAGGTATAACCTTGGGTAAGTTACTGAGGTACTCTGAGACTCAGATTCCTTATATAATGTATATCATAATATGATATGACATATGATCATTTATTATACATAATATTTAATGAAAACAATCTTACCTACCTTTAAAGGAAAGCTAAACGATTATAAAACACTTTTTGTAAAACAGTGCTTTCCAAGCTGTCAAATACTATGCAACTATGAGGGTTATATGGGAAATTCCAGGAAGTTTAGATAGGTTATTCTTTGCCTTTCTGAAAGTAGGATGTACAGTCAGAGTTGGTGCTTTCCCAGTAACCACCATTTTAAAGCTTGGGTCATACCATTAGGCCAAGAGGTTTCTCTTTTCTTTGTTATCCTTACTTCTTCCCTTTGCTCAGGCCTCTGTTCCAAGGTTGCCTCCTCAGAGAAGTCTTCCTTGATCACCCCAACTGAGAAAGTACTACTGCCACTCTGTCTCCCTGCCCAACTTGATTGCCTTCATAATAGTTTTTGTGACTGGATATCCCATTGCATATTTGTTTGCTTATCTGTTTATTGTCTGTGTCTGCCATGAGAATATAAGCTTAGTGAGGACAGGGATCCTGTATGCTTTCTTCACCACTATGTTTCCAGCACTTTAACTGCTACTGGCATGTGGCCAATGCTCAATGAATATTTCCTGAATGAATAAATGAATAAATAATATTTAGAGAAGTGGGAACAACATAATGGTATTTGTCTATATCTTTTTTTTTTTTTTTTTTTTTTTTTTGCAACAGGGTCTTGCTCTGTCACCCAGGCTGGAGTGCAGTGGCGCGATCTTGGCTCACTACAGCCTCAACCTCCAGGGCTCAAGCCATCCTTGCATCTCAGCCTCCCAAAGTGCTAGGATTACAGGCTTGAGCCACTGCACCCGGCTGCCTCTATCTTTAAAAATTCTGAAGTTCTGATTTTCTTTGGACTATTGATACAGCATATTATTTTATGCTTTGGTTGTCTTGTAACCAAAGTAGCTGAATTTAACAAACTATCACCATTTCCAGAAATAATAAGGCCGAAACAATTCTTAATTACTACTACATTACTGATAAGATACTGAATCCTTATTTGTATATTTATCTTTACATAATGGTTTTAAGATACAAATAGCATCATTAAAGAAAATATGTTTGAAAATAACATTTTTGAAAGGAAGAAAAGTCACTCCCATCACCGTAACATATCCACATGCAGACACTGTATGCAACTGTAATTAGGGCGTACAAGAGTTTTTCATGTGACATATTATAAATATTTTCAACATTGTCTCACATATTCCATGTTAACATTAGGTATTAATTTCTAATATCTACAGAATATTCCGTTAATTTGTCATATCATAATTTACTCAACCAATTCCCAATTGTTAGACAGTTTTTTTTCTGAGTTTTCCCCTTTTAGATATAATGCTTCAGTACTGAAGCATGGGTATGCTTTTCTGGTGCCCCCTACCCTCCAATATTTTAGAAGACTGCCTCATGATAAATTTCTAACAATGGAACGACTGGTTCGTAAGATATGTATATAATTACAATACTCCAGCATATTGGAAAACATATTTTCTTTCCAAAAGCATTATATCAATGGAACAATGTCACAACAAACTTAACAACGTGGGTGGTACTATTAATAATTTTGAGGGTTTGATAGGCATAAAGTAACAAAGCGAATTTAATAGGTCTAAAAAACAATAAGACTGTGTTGAAAGTACATTTCTTTAACTGCTATTAATGTTTTCACCATACACTTATTAATGATTTATATTTCTCTCTTTAATGGTCTTTCCCTTTTAGACTATTAAGGGCCTGAGGATTTTCCGTTACATTTGAATGAACTCTTTCATGCTATATGTAAATATTTTCCTAGTCTATTGTTCTTTTAATTTTAATTTTTCATAGTTAAAAAAAATTTTAGGCCGGGCACAGTGGCTCACGCCTATAATCCCAGCACTTTGGGGGCTGAGGTGGGTGGATCACGAGGTCAAGAGATCAAGAGCATCCTGGCCAACATGGTGAAACCTGGTTTCTACTAAAAATACAAAAATTAGCTGGGCGTGGTGGCGTGTGCCTGTAGTCCTAGCTACTTGGGAGGCTAAGGCAGAAGAATCGCTTGAACCCAGGAGGCGGAGGTTGCAGTGAGCCGAGATCGTGCCACTGCACTCCAGCCTGGGTGGCAGAACAAGACTTTGACTCAAAAAATAATAATAATAAATAAATTTTAATCTTCATCTGGCTGAATTCATTAGTTTTTTCTTTGTTCACTGTCCTTTCTTTAGACATTGATGTATATAAGATGATATGTTATGACTGCTCAATGATAATAGACAATGATCATTGTCATAATAATAAAAATCATGCTGGGCACAGTGGCTCACATCTGTAATCTCAGCACTTTGTGAGGCGGAGGTGACTGGATCATGAGGTCAGGAGTTTGAGACCAGCCTGGGCAACATAGTGAAACCCCATCTCTACTAAAAATACAAAAATTAACCAGGCATGGGGGCATGCGTCTGTAGTCCCAGCTATTCAGGAGGCTGAGGCAGGAGAATTGCTTGAACCCAGGAGGCGGAGACTGAGTTGTGCCAAGATCGCGCCACTGCACTCCAGGCTGGGCAACAGAGCCAGACTCCATCTCAAAAAAAAAAAAAAAAATCATTTCAGAGGGCCTCATTATACTTGCGAAACATGGGGTTTATGAAAATTCTGGGAAGGAGAGTAACGAAGTGGATACCTCTTGAGAGTGTATGGGAAACTATGAGTATGTACTGGCAGGAGGGAAAGAGGAAGAGAGAGGGACAGTTTCCTTCCTCTCTCAAGGCATGACAGCATGTCTCACAGCACGATGCACACTTAACACGTAGGCAGAAAATGACTTTCTTAGGAAATCTTTCAAATGGAAAATCCCCGTGGCTGGTGGTATTCGTCCGCTCTGCCAGTGATGCTCATAAAATGATTCCAAGGCACCACAGAGCTCTCAAATCTCTCCCAACTATCAAAGAGTTATGCTTGGTTTCTGTTTCAATATTAGTTACGCTATGCTCTGAGCTCCTTGCAGGTATTTGTAACCTAGGTTCTGAAACCTATAAGATGGAGAAGTGAATGTTTGCCAGATGATCATTTGAAAACATTATTTTACCAATTTTCTAATTCTTTTGGCACTTGTTTGAAAATGTATGGAGTGGAAAGAAGTAGGGCTTTTGCATTCTAATCCAGGTTCAGGCACCAAGGTGTTGGCTAATCTTAGATAACTTATTTTTTTTCTGGGCCTCGATTTTCTCATTTGTTAAAATAAGGGAGGGCTTTAGGCTAGATTATCTCAGAGGTAATTTTCAGTGAGCATTCTTTGATTACGGACTGTAAATTAACTAAATAAAATGTCCAGTTAGTTGGGTTACCGTATATTTTTAAAACTATGTCTGATCACAAAGAGAGTAGATTATAAAAGAAACCATCAACCTTTTCATAGCTTCAAAGGTATTGGTTTAATTTGGATTTACTGTGAGTTCTCATGATTTTCAATACAATGCAGTTTACAGTATAATAGAATGCATATTACAAATATAAGCGCATTGAAGTAAATGTTGGACAATTGAACAAGAACAAGAAAAAAAAAATAGGCTTTCTATCCTCTAGAGCTGTGCTTGCTGTCCACTACGGTAGTGAAATGTGGCTAGTCTGAACTAAGATATGCCGTAAGTACTAAATACTCATTGGATTTTGAAGATTTGTTATGAGAAAAGAATATCTCATTAATGATTTTATACTGATTACATATTAAAATAACACTAAATGTATCTTAAAAGTTAGTTTTACCTATTTTTTTACTTTTTAAAATATGGCTACAAGAAAATTAAAATTACAGATGTAGGTCACACTGTATTTCTGTTAGATGATGCTGCTTAAGAGGGGTAGAAGGAGTAGAAGATTAACTATTTGCACTATTTAAATGAAAATATTTTTGCTTTTTATTACAGCATACTTAATCTACAATGATTTTTAAAATGTTAAATTTATTCTCTCATAGGAAAATGGCTTTGTAAAGAAGTTTGAACCTAAATCTGGCTGGATGACTTTTCTAGAAGTTACAGGAAAGATCTGTGAAATGCTATCTCTCCTGAAGCAATACTGTTGACCAGAAAGGACACTCCATATTGTGAAACCGGCCTAATTTTCTTACCTCTCATCAAAACGATTGCCAACACATACTTCTAGTTTTAAACAAACAGCTGTGATGATGTCACCTGACTTTCCATAGTTATGGAAATTTTTCCCCATTTAATGAATAAATTGTATGTATTTTTCTCTATGTGCCATTTTGTCTTAATTTCTTGGGTCTGCCTGGAAATTTAGCTGAAGGGTAAAGCTCAACACAGGAGACAGGCAATGAATTATGGGATGACAACCAGGAAGGTGGTGTGTTTTCTGCCCCTCGGTTGACTCTTTCAGGGGTGCCCATTACCCAAAAGTCCTTCTCTGTGTCACTAGGCTAGACTGCAGACTAGACTGAGAAGCAGACTCAGGCTAGAAGCAGACTCAGGTTGGCTTCCCTCTTCTTCCTTCCTTCCTTCTTTCCCATGCTCTCTGCAGTTTCCAGTGCCCCTGGCTGCTTAGAGTTTCCAATGATGCCTCCTCCCCAGCCTTCTCTCTCTGGCTTGCCATTTGGGGTTGATGGATATGGCAACCCGATATGCAAGATACTCGGGGATATTGTGACCAAAGAAAATTAGGTAAATGATTCAATGTGGAGCTAGTGTTAAAAAAATTTTTTTTGTTTTTTGTTTTTTTGTAAAAATGAACGGATTAGAAAATTATGTAGTTTGTTAGACCTTGTGTTCTAATTTTTAGGTCAGCAAATCTGATTGCAATATGGAAGCTATACCTTGTTCTAGACCTTCCTGGTCTTCCCTTCCTTTTTTTTTTTGTTTTATTTTTCGAGGTGAGTCTCGCTCTGGCGCCTAGGCTGGAGTGCAGTGGTCCCATCTCGGCTCACTGCAAGCTCCGCCTCCGGGTTCTAGCCATTCTCCTGCTTCGTCTCCCGAGTAACTGGGACTACAGGCACCCGCCACCATGCCTGGCTAATTTTTTGTATTTTTAGTAGAGACGGGGTTTCACCATGTTAGCCAGGATGGTCTTGATCTCTTGACTTCGTGATCTGCCCACCTTGGCCTCCCAAAGTGCTGGGACTACAGGTGTGAGCCGCTGTGCCCGGCCCCACTGCAGTTACTTCTTTAGCAATGTGACACTGGGAAATCAGTGACTATTTCTGATTTGGTCTGTGACCCGGTCTTTTAAACTGTGCCTTGCTGTGTGTTTTATTAATTTAATTTTAAAAAAGGTTCTTATGACCAGTGCGGTGGCTCAGGCCTGTAATCCCAGCACTTCTCACGCCTGTAATCCCAGCACTTTGGGAGGCCGAGGTGGGTGGATCACCTGAGTTCAGGAGTTCGAGACCAGCCTGGCCAACATGGTGAAACCCTGTCTCTACTAAAAATACAAAAATTAGCCGTGCCGTGGTTGGGGACACCTGTAATCCCAGCTACTCTGGAGGCCGAGGCACGAGAATCGCTTGAATCCGGGAGGCAGAGGCTGCAGTGAGCCGAGATTGCACCATTGCACTCCAGGCTGGGTGGCAAGAGCGAAACTCCGTCTCAAAAGACAAACAAACAAAAACGGTTTTTATAAACCTCAACTCTTCACGTGGCACAGAAAAATTAAATGAAAACAGATCACAGGTCTAAATTTATGTGAAAACTATACAACGTCTAGAAGAAAATGTAAGAGAAAATCTTTACAACTTTGGTGTAGGCAGACTTCTTAGGCAGAACACACAAAGCTTGAGCCAGAAAAGAAAATATTGATAATTTGAAAATTTAAAAATGTTTAATTTTTACTCTTAAAAAGACACTTCAAGAACTCAAACAGAAGGTATTTGAATTATACTTCAATAAAGCTATTACAAAAAAGCTCTCAAAAAGGCATACCACATAATGGAAGACGATCTGTACTACACTAATATCTGATAAAGGACTTGTGATATGTGATACTCTTACAATTCTGCAACAAGATCATCATCAACCTAATACTAAGCATGGGTAAAAGATTTGAACAGACACTTCACTAAAGCAGATACACAAATGGCCAGTAGACATGGAAAAGATGTTCAGCACCATTAGTTATCAGAGAAATGCATTTAAAACCACAGCAAGAGACCACTACACATTCTCCAGAACAGCTAAAATGAAAAACATAGACAATGCCAAGCTTTTGGGAAAATGTGGAGCAACTGGATGTCTTACACACTACTGATGATAATGTAAAATTGCACTACTACTTTGGAAAACAGCTTGGAAATTTCTTATAAAGTTAAACATACCTTACTGTAGGACCCAGAAATTCCTCTCCTAGATATTTACCCCAAAGAAATAAAAACATGTACTGATATTATTCATAGCTTTATTGATAATAGCCCAAACTGGAACCCAAATGTTCATCAACAGGGGAGTAAATAAGCACATTTTGGAATATCCATAAGACAGAATGTCACTCAGCAATAAAAAGGAATGAACTACTTGTACATGCAACAGAATAGATAAATCTCAAAAACATATCAAGTGAAAAAAGCCAGTCACGAGAGTACATAGTGTATTATCTCCTTTATGTGAAACTCAAAAAAGGCCAATATGTAGTGTCAGAAAGCAGGTCAGTTGTTGCCTGGGGCTGGGATGTGAGTACTGACTGAGAAAGAAGTTTGCCTGGGGTGATACAAATATTCTTCATCTTGATTGTAGTAGTAGTTACAAAACTCATAGAGATGTACACTTAAAACTGGTGCACTTTATTGTAGATAAATAATATCTTAATGAAGTTGACTTAGAAAAAAGTGTTTTGGGCCAGGCATGGTGGATCACTCCTGTAATCTCAACACTTTGGGAGGCCGAGGCGGGCGGATCACAAGGTTAGGAGATCAAGACCATCCTGGCCAACATGGTGAAACCCTGTCTCTACTAAAAATACAAAAATTAGCCAGGTGTGGTGGCGGACACCTGTAGTCCCAACTATGAGGGAGGCTGAGGCAGGAGAATTACTTGAACCTGGGAGGCGGAGCTTGCAGTGAGCTGAGACTGCACCCCTGCACTCCAGCCTGGGTGACAGAGCAAGACTCCATCTCAAAAAAAAAAAAAAAAAAAGAAAAAAGAAAAGAAAGAAAAGAAAAAAGTGGTTTTGTGAAAAATGATAAACACTTATCAGAAGCAAAGTAAACAATAGTAAACAATAAGAAAACATACAAAATGAAAGAAATAAAAATCACTCCAACTACTAATTTAAACTGGAAAGTTATTAATGCCATGAATAAAGTCCTGAAGCACCATTATTTTGTTTGCCTTGTCATTTAAAAGAACTTTGTCATTGTAAATTAGAGCCTTGCTCACGTTCTACCAGGCCCTCCCTATGTGGTTTGGTCTCTACTATGATTGTCCTACTTCATTTCAGTTGTGTCCTCCTCGGGGGTCTGTCTCTTCTGCAGCTTTGCTGGGCTGTTTTCAGGACCTTCTGCCACAGATGTTTGCCCATGTTGTTCCTTCTGCCTCTGCATCTGGTTAATGCTTACTTGCCTTTCAGATTTCAGCTCAAAATTCACTTCTTCAGGATGCCTTCCCTGACTAGGTTAAATTCTGCAATTATAGTCTTATAAAATGCCACTGTCTCAATTACGGAGTTACACTTGTGTGATTTTTAAATCAATATATCTGTTTCCCCAACAGATACTAAGTTCTGTGTGGGCAGGAACCATGGCTGTTTTTGTTTACCATTTTATTTCAGAGCTCAGTTCAGAGCCTGGTAAGAGCTCAATAATATTTTTGTTTAAAAAGAAATGGGGGCCAGGCACGGTGACTCACACCCGTAATCTCAGCACTTTGGGAGGCTGAGGCGGGTGGATTGCTTGGGATCTGGAGTTCAAGACCAGCATGGCCAACATGGTGAAACCCCGTCTCTACTAAAAATACAAAAATTAGCTGGGCGTGGTGGTGCGCATCTGTAATCCCAGTTACTCAGGAGGCTGAGGCAGGAGAATTGCTTGAACCCAGAAGATGGAGATTGCAGTGAACCAAGATGGTGCCCCTGCACTCCAGCCTGGGCGATAGAGCAAGACTCTGTCTCAACAACAAGAACAACAAAAACCACAACAACAAATGGGAATGAACATTAATTGGTTTTGATTATGTCATTTGGTAGCAAATGAGGCTGGGGTGAGGCTGAACATCATATTCTCAGTAATAGCATGTGCTGTGGTTTGACTGCTCCAAAACTCATGTTGAAACTTAATCCCCAATGCAACAGTGTTGAGAGGTTGGGCCTTTAAGAGCTAATTTGATCATGAGGGCTCTGCTCTCATGAATGAATTAATCCACTTATGGATTAATACATTAATGGGTTATCATGGGAGGGGAATTGGTGGCTTTATAAGGAGAGGAAGAGACCTGAGCTAGCATGCTCAGTCCTCTTGCCATTGATACCCTGCACTGCCTTAGGATTCCACAGAGTCCCTACTAGCAAGAAGGCCCTCACCAAGGCCAGGTGCAGTGGCTCACTCCTGTAATCCCAGCACTTTGGGAGGCCGAGATGTGTGGATCACGAGGTCAGGAGTTCAAGACATTGGCCAATATGGTGAAACCCTGTCTCTCTGGGAAAAAAAAAATACAAAAATTAGCCAGGCGTGGTGGTGTGCACCTGTAGTCCCAGCTGCTTGGGAGGCTGAGGCAGGAGAATCACTTGAACCCAGGAGGTGGAGGTTGCAGTGAGTCGAGATCGCGCCACTGCACCCCAGCCTGGGTGACAGAGTGGGACCTCGTCTCAAAAAAAAAAAAAAAAAGAAAAAGAAAAAAAGAAGGCCCTCACCAGATGCACCTCCTCAACCTTGGACTTCCTGACTTCCATAGCAGTACAAAAATATATTTCTTTCCTTTACAAATCACCCATTTTAGGTATTTCGTTATAAACAACAGAAAATAGACTAATACAGCATGAGTGAGTGTGATGGCTATTTAATGGTCGTTGTCCATGTGCGAAAAACTTTAGATACAAAATTTTTAATCTTCGTGATGACCCTCTGAAGTAGATATTTTCCCTCTTTTACTGTTGAAGAAACAGGCTTAAAACAAGTAAGAAACATGCCCAATGTCACAGAGTTGGAGGCATCTGACCTCCCAGTAGTTCTCACTGGCTCTCAGTCACTGGGCGTCCTCCTACTGCACCACTTCCTTCTGATCACATGGGGCCACTTAGACCCTCTGCTTCCTTCCCC